GACGTCGACAACCGAAGTTGAAGATCACGAGCAACGCTGCTACGAGCAGTAGGAATACTATCGTTAGACCGGTTGTGAAAACGAATGTGTTGTTGAAAGCATGGGGAGGAGGGCAATACATTGTGTTTGGTCCTGAGACTTAAATCTAGTTGATCCAACTGCGGATGCATTTTCTCAACGTAATAATAATATAAAATTATTGATCTTTAGTAGTACTTGTTCAATGTATATATATCTATATGTTGTGATTTGTGAATGATTAATGGTGACTATATATAGAAGGGATAGTACATCTCGTGCATGTATGGTATTGGGCCCGATCAATGGAAGAAGCCCATTAGAGGAACCGTAACCCTATGGCCCATGTTCAATTATAAAAGAGCTAGGCACAACACCCTAGAAGAAGGGGAGCACGCATCCTTGTATGATTAACACATACTACATAAGTAGTCTATCTTATCATAAGAGTGGTTCTGAAAGAAAATGTGTTATTTAAGGCATGGTGAGGAGAACGATGAGTTGAGTTAAGTTTTGGGACACTTAAATCTGATTGATCCAATTGTGGATGCATTTTCTGAATGTAATAATAATAAAAAGAACAACAATAAATAATAACAAAAATATTAATGTTGTCATATACTCCCTCCGCCCCCCTGTATTTGTCCACTTTCATTTTTACACACCATCCAATGCACTTCTTTAATTCATTTTATCTTGTAATTTGTATATTAAAAAATTATAGAAATTATATATTAATAATCTATACGTTGAGACAAATCAAACAAGATCACACATGATTATATTTAGGCTTACACATTGAGAGAATTTGATGAGTCAAAGTCCTTAGATGAACAGTTCCAAAAGTCAAATGTGGACAAATACAGGGGGACGGGGGGAGTATTAGTAAGTTTTTTAATTAAATCTCTAATAACTATGAGGAACTAGGGAGTACTAGTATATTTCATCCATACCCATTACTCTCTCCGTCTTGAATTTTTTTCTCATTCAACTTTTTACGGTCTCTGTTATTGTATTTTGACCATTGGTATCCATATTCATACATATATATGAAGTATTTGATAAAAATTTCATACTATGGGTATTTCAAAACTATATATTAAAAAAATCTATTGATATCACATTTATACCACAACACATTGTATTTTTTTCTCATATGAAGTTCAAAGTGTACAAACTTTGATAGAAAAAATCAAATGAGAAGAAATTTTATAAAATGAGGGAGTATATATATAATCTTATTGAAATAAAGCCATACTAAGGCTCCGTCCCGTTCAACTTATTTTTTTGTTTTTTTCTTATTATTATTAAAATCAGATCAGATCAGATCAGACAAAATCAGATCTAATCAAATCAGATTAGATCTCATCAGATCAGATTAGATCAAATCCAATCAGATCAAACCATATCAGATCTAATCAAAAATTATTATTATTATTAGGAATTATTATTATCATCATCATTATCGCTATTACTCTATACTTTTTAAATTCCATACTTTTTACTTGTTTCACTTGATACGATTCTTTCAAAAAATAAATTTAATTTTTCTTGAAAAAATATAAGAAGAAAGAAACTGAAACTTTTGTGCGATTATAATTTATGTAGAGAAAAATAAAGTGATATGAAGCACTTTTTTTAAAAAAAGTAAAAAAGAATAAACTTTAGAAACAAGTTAAATAGAAAACTGAGAAAATAATCCTTAATTATTAGACGTTGGAAAAATTATTTTTAAAATGCATTGACACTGTCAATCTAATTCTATTTTTAAAATATACTAAATATGTCAATCTAATGCTACTTTTAGAATATATTTTTATTGCTACGTATAATTTGAGTTTCTAAAGTTATTACATTATAAAATATGAATGAAAAAATATTATTACATTATATTATTACATTATAATATGAATGATTATTCTAATATATGAATTAACTAATTTTATTTCATTAAAAAATAATCATAAAATAAAAAATGTTTATTATATTATAATATGAATTATTATTACAATTTGTAAAAGTTATTACAAAGTCAGATCAAATTATTGATTTGAATTTTAAATAAAATCATAACTAATCAAATCAAATAAGATCAGATTCAATCAGATCCGATCAAATTCAATCAAATTTGATCAGATCCAATCAGATCACACTAGATCAGATCAGATCCAATCAGATTAGATCAAACCAGATCATATCCAATCAGATCAGATTAGATCAAAAGTACAAAAAATTAGATTAGATCAGAAAAAATAAGTTGAACGGAATGGAGTCTAATTGATGGATTGACCATAGAATATTCCTTCTTCATAATAATATAAAACATAAAGCAAGAGCAGATGGGATTAATTAGGGGATTGCATGCGCGGGTACTGCTACAGCTGCAGAAGAAGACAAAGGCGGTGGTCCGGATTGTCGTGGCGACAATGTATCATCTCCCATTCTTTGCTTGAGCTGACATTGACAAGCGAAGCCGAGGATCATGAGCAACGCTGCTACGAGGACGATACGTTGAGTTTGGTCCTGGGACTCTTAAATCTGGTTGATCCAACTGCGGATGCGTTTTCTCAACGTAATAATAATATATAATTATTGATCTCTAATAGTACATGTTCAATGTATATGTATATTATGATTTGTGAATGATTGATGGGGACTATATATATAGGGAAAGACAAAAGGCTTAGGCTTTCTTTTTTCATAGTTATGTTTACATAAAAAATCACATGCAACAAGATCATATAGAAATTATAAATTAAGATGGTGTAATAGTATAGTACTTCATAATTATTATAGTAAATGAGAATATATGGAAATACATTTGCATGCCTTGTTGTATTATATGATGAGGCGAAAGATTCACCATTTTAATTTGTTAGCTTTGAAATATGATGAAATAAAATAATTTTTTAAACTATTTATACTTTTTCTATTAATAGTGAAATCAGAGTTCGTTACTCAATATAATACAACTTTCGACGCTCATGATGGGTCTCTTTAGAAATTATCTCTGATCCCTACTTTCAAGTACAAGTAATTAATAAGCTCTGCGTACATGCTACCTCCCCAGACCCTATTTTAATGAGATTCAACTCAGTTGTTGTCGTTGTATATTTGCATGCCTAGCTATTAATTTTTGCTTGCAAGATTAAATGATTATAGAATTTGAACATGCATGATTCTTTTTCGATACGAACCATTAATATTAGGTACTTTTTTTGTATTCTACTTTTATTAGGAATTAATTTTTAAAAATGTACAAACTCATTCTCAAGACTACCAACTCAATCATCCAATAAGAATCAGACATGTGTAATAAATAATACTACGTAATTCTTTTTTTGAATTAGTTAAATAATAGTACGTAATTCATTCTCATTCAAATAATATATAAGCTCCTTTCTCCATCTACTTGAAAAGATGAAGAAGAGAGTAATACCCAAACATCAATAGTTAGAGTTTGTTCACTTCAACTTATTCTTATTACTCCGGAGTAATTATTAGTTATTCTTATTGATATCAGATCAAACCAGATCAGATAAACAACTTTAAATACAACTACGATCTGACTATATCACATCGGAACCAATCGATAATGTGAAGAGAACAAACCCTTAATAAGGACCCAAATTTGTTGGGGTGGAGAAGAAATATTTGTTCTCACCCAATAAATGCAGCAGGATACCGAAACCCATTAAAATGTACACACACCTGCATGACATGAAGCGACACAATAAAGGAACAAATTGGGAGGGGATGTACTTGTACTACCTCCTTTAGAAAGAGAATACCCCCAGTCCCACAATGGATGTCACTCTGCAGTCTGCACTATTCAAAATTTACGATAGCTTTTGTTTATTTGTGTTTTTTATTGTTTATATGATAAAATAAAATATCGTTGTCACCTCTTATTTTGTAGAAGAACTTTTGACAAAGATTTTAAATATGGGGGTTTTACATTTTATTTCTATGTCATATTTTGAATAAATTTAATTGAAAAAGCATCAGATTTCGTATTTGATAAAATCAGGGAATCATACCAAAATTACACATTTCTATGGTGCACCATTTTTCGCATTTGAAAAGTTTTATGAGATAAAGGAAGTATTTTTTTTTAGTAAATTTAAGTCTTATTTATTTGGTGTGTCTTTAATATACTAATTAAACTCTTTTTTCATAGTGTTTTATTAACATGGAGTACTACTCAAATTATAATTTGTTTATAGAAAATTAAAAACTACAATTATATTTTGTCAAAAATTGTTACTAAACAATACACGTCTTGAGTAAGAATGCACAAAAATATAGGTGCATCAATTTTTTTAGTTACATTATTTTTTGTTATGCATAACAATATTTTCAAAGTATCGAAGTATTATGACATAATTTGACATTGGTAATAGTATAACATTGTACTATCTTGTTATTGAACGACATACTTCGTAATATTAAGACGGTGTTTGGCAGTGCGCTGCTTTTAATAATTTAGCTTCTGTTTTGAGTGAAAATGATGTTACTCTGTTTGGTATGTCAGCGTCTGCTTTTTACCACCACTATTTTGTACATAGAATACCGTTTTGGAGAAGCAGGTATGTGATGCTTTTGCTTTTAGCTTTTGTGAAAGTCACTTTGGGGCTCTTTAGGAATAACGTTAGCTATTAGCGTTAGCATTTTGAAAAGACTATCTACGGACAACGTTTAACGTTCTTAAAGTAATCTACGCCGTTAAAACTTCATCCAACCCGCTAACGCTAATTTCTAACGCTATTCTCAAACATATCTTTTATTTACAAGTTAATCACTCGCACACACTCTCTAAAACTGTTTGGGCTTAATCAAAACTGCACCGAATCAATTCATTTGAGTAGTAACAATATCATACAAATTTATTAAAAATACCCAACCCTCATCCACCCCTAAAATCCACACGACCACATTATTTGATCATTTCATAAGGTATCTTTCTGAATACAATTTGACAAGGAAAAAGAAAGAAAAAGAGTATCAAACCAGAAAACATAAGAAAGGCAAGACAAACTAGAACTAATCAGTTTCTGGCGATTGAGCTCCGTCCATGGCGTGGCTTTGATTCAAAACTTCATTCCTGGCCAGCAGTCTCACTATTTCACTATCTGAATTTCATAATCGGGTATTTCGCCTTTCTTCTTTGTTCCTACCTGGTACCCCTAGGGTTTCGTCCAGAAATGCCGAGTTTTTGTTCTTGAGCTTTTCTCTCTTTATAACTTGTTTATTGTTTCTGCTGATTAAATTGAGTTTTTGTCGTGTTTTCTTCATATTAAAGTTCAATGAAGTATGCGGGCGATTTTTTCTTGATGAATGGCATTTGAATTCTGCTCGTTCTTGTTGCAGGATCATTTAGGGTTTTCAGATTTTTTGTTGTTGTTGTTGTTGTTGTTGTTCCCTTCATCCAACCTAAATAAACATGTTGATTCTAGTAGGAATTTATGATTTTGATTTCATCTTATTTTCTTCTTTGGTTATATGCATTTCTCTTATGAGGGATTACTAAGCTCTGGCAACTTCTGAAATGGGTGAGGTGTGTTAAAGGAAATTGGGATCCTGAGCTTTGAGAATTGTATTGTTTACTAGTTTTATTGTTGGTTTGGGTTTCTGAAATGTTATGCCAAAATAGGTTGCTTCAGTATAGACTAGGTAGATGGACTGCAACAGGGATGAGGCTTTGAGGTCGAAAGATATTGCGGAAAAGAGGTTTTTAGCGAAAGATGTTAATGGAGCAAAGAAGCTTGCTCTCAAGGCACATAATTTATATCCTAAACTTGAAGGCATTTCACAGATGCTGGCAACGCTTGATGTTCATGTTTCTGCTGAGAAGAGAGTAAACGGAGAGGTGAATGTTTATGAAATTCTCGGCATTAAACCAGATGCTAATGAAGATGTTATCAGAAAGCAGTACAGGAAACTGGCTCTCATTCTTCATCCTGATAAGAACAAATCCATAGGAGCTGAGGGAGCCTTTAAGTATGTATCAGAGGCCTGGAGCTTGCTGTCTGACAAGGATAAAAAGGCAGCATATGACCACAGGCATGCTAATGTGTTCCAAAAAAAAGTTCAGTCTTCGATTGGAAATCCATCAAAACCACCAATGCAGAATGGCTTTTACAATTTTGCGAAAAATGCTGTGTCACAAAAGAAGCCTCCAAAAGAAAACAAGGATACAAACACAAATCCTGAATCATCCAAAGAGAAGGAGCGCAGAACCTTCTGGACAGTTTGCTATCGGTGTAAGGTGCAATATGAATATCTTTTGAAGTATTTACACCGAAACCTTCTTTGTCCCAACTGCCATGAGGCTTTCTTTGCAGTAGAGATCACACCCCCATCTAATGAATCAAAAAGAACCAACGACGGTGATAACACACAGCACCAAGGAAATTTGAAGCATCATGGGAAGAACAAGAAGATTCCTGGTAGTGTAAAAAGTAATGCAGGCACTTCAAATGTGAAATCTACAGGGTTCCAGTGGAGCCCCTTCTCTAAAACTGCCGGTCCAGCATCTGCTGTTCATGCAGCAAGTGTAGTTCAACAGGCGTATGAGAAAGTGAAGCGAGAACGTCAAGAAGCACAAGCTGCAACAAAAAGAGAGGATGCATTACGAAGGAAGCATTCTTCCTCCAAAAGAGCTCATGGGGTGCCATTAGCTGCTAACTCCAGTGCCGCGAAGAGGAAAAGAGACGGGGATAGTCCCAGTACAGCTAGAGAAATGTCAAAGGAGAACTTAGATATTGGTTTAACCTACAGAACAGGTTTGTCTGGGCACACTATATTGAAAGGTAGGAGTATACTAGGGCACAAGATGGGCATGGTATATCGTGGTGTTAAGCATATGTTGATGGAGAAGGCAAAGCAACAGATACATAAGACAGCAGAAGAGAGGAGATCTTCTACCATGGCTAACTCTTCTGCCTCAGGTGCGGTTAATATGAATGAGGAGATACCTGTGAGCATAGAAGTTAATGCCATGCAAGATAGTGAGCGAGTCACTAATAGCATCGAAGTGCCTGCCAAAAAATATGATATTGCCACCACTGGGGGTTATTTATGCCGTGGAGTTTGTGAGCATGTTTCAATAGATGTACTAGATTCTGATTTTTACAACTTTAATAGAGATCGAACAGAAAGTTGTTTTGAAGGCAACCACATTTGGGCAGCATATGATAATGATGATGGTATGCCTCGGTATTATGCCATGGTTCATAATGTGATTTCAGTGAATCCCTTTAAGGTTGGGATCAGTTGGCTCACTTCACTTACCAACAATGGACTAGGCCCTCAATACTGGTTTGATTCTGGTTGCTCAAAAACATGTGGCAGCTTTAGGAAGGGCAGACATGAAATCCAAAACTCTCTCAGTTGCTTCTCTCACAAGGTTAGGTGGTCAACGGATTCACATGGGGCCATACAGATATTTCCTAGAAAGGGAGATGTTTGGGCGTTGTACAGAAACTGGTCTAGAGAGTGGAATGAGCTCACAGATAGTGATACAATACACAAATATGATTTGGTGGAAATAATTGATGATTATGACGAAGAACAAGGGGTAATTGTCACCCCTCTTGTGAAAGTTGCTGGCTTCAGAGCAGTGTTTCACCGGCATTTGAACCCTCATGAAATGAGAGTAATCCCAAGGGAAGAAATTTTTCGCTTTTCCCATCAGGTACCATCCCACTTGCATACCGGTAAAGATTGTACAATTGCCCCCAAAGGTTGTTTGGAGTTGGATCCAGCTGCTTTGCCTTCAGAACTTCTTCATGTTATTCCAGACGTTGACGAGGCTGAATGCCTAATTGACGAGGGAAACATTGAGGAAAATATAAACGCGAAGGCCGAGTGTTCTCAATCCAGTGATGGGGTTTTAGAGGATGCCATGAATAAATCCGGGGAAGTAGAATCACAGAAGACTGCAAACCAAGAATGTAAATAACACAGGTTTTCTGTTGCCGAGGTATTTAGTGACTGATCATATGATTCGATTCTACTCTTGGCTTGTAGCTGTTTGAGACCAACACAATTTCTTGTCTGCAAATTGAAGGCTGTCATGATTCTTCAAGATGAAAGAGTGGATACTTACGTGTTACTGTAGACAGATGAAAAGAGTGTCAACACTATATAGAGCTTTTATCAAAGGTGGAACGTCCACCCCGGGCGCCCCCACACCCCGGCTCGACAGGATCGTGAGGGGGGGGGGAATCAAATAGAGCTTTTATCAACAAAGATATTGGTGTGCAGTGCCCCCCCTTTCATTTATAGTTCATTTATGGAATGGGTATTCTGCATGCTTGATCTTATAGCCAAATACATCAGAGTTTTTCTCTCACACATTTAGTTTGGCATTGATTGTAATGATATTATAGATCAAATCTCTAATACCATCCACAACAGGATGAAAGGAATTGCCCCCATTAATTCTCTTGTAATTGCCACATAAGCATTTTGATACTTTATTTGACTCCCATCTTTTACATCTAAATGAAGAGTACAAAAATAAGTCCCACTTTGGGTTTCACATTTTTCAATTATTAAAATTTGCTCATTCTTTATATATGTAGTTATGTACATGCCATTTTATTCCCTCTGTATCATTTAAATCATTTAATATTGAATTATATTGTCGTAAATTGAATATACTCTAAACGAAATACTCACGAAATCTATTATATACTACTATTGGAATCTTACGCAATTAATGTATTTAATTTCGTCTTTAGGTGAGAAATAGCTATCACAACTCTTTAATTGTACTGATTAATTGTACTGTATCAAGATCTCAAGATTTCATGTCCTTTCATGAAAAGTTATGACCAGCCATACATGGAACTTTTCCTAATACACTTTCAAAGATGATGAAATATATGCCCGATCAACTTTCCCTTGACGGGGTGACAAACGCGTTTTTACTAGACGGCACACATGATCAAAAGAGGTCACCCTGCCATCCTGCAGAGTATCACCGCACAAACAATAGAAGGTATCTTATAGACAACGTCACCTATGATTAGATAGTGATAGTCTAATGTAGATTTGTTAATGATTGTACATTGCCCAATTCTCTAGATGGTGCTACTTTACTGCTCCCTCTGTCTAAGTATATTCGTCTAGTTTGACTTTTTCGAGTAAAATTGGACAAACTTTAAACATTAATCACTCTTAGTTTATTTTGCATATTAATACAATAAAGTAAAATTTTAATAATTCTCAACAAGATAAATTTATTGAAATAATTTTTATACTAAAATACCTTACCATTTTTATTTAATTAAGGTCCAAAGTTTATCCAGTTTGACTCAAAAACATCAAATTGGACGAATAAACTGGGACGAAGGTAGCATTTTATAAATAAATAAAAAATACCATGTCTTAGAGAGTGAGGAATACAGTCATTATACTTCTATTTTGGTATTTTCAAACTTTTTTAACTCTTATATAAGGAGATTTCTTTTTATATTTCTTTGTTTAAAACTCGCAAAAAAAAAAAAGAAATACAAAGAAAAACTACGTGTTAGTATAAGCAGTCAACTGTCGGCGGACCATCGGCCAACGTCAATGATCGGCAACGACACTCTAGTTAGTGGCGGCGACGAAGGTTGGCAGTTTGGTAGTGATAGTGTTGTAGTTTCTTTGTGACAATGTGGTAAGTGTATTGTATAAAGTCCTTTTTTGGTTTTAAAAGATTAGTACTCCTATTTTGGTTGTTTCATATTTTTTATTCATATCTTGGGAGTTCTCCCAAAGATAAAAAAGTTGAAAACGAGAAATAATACTCCTCCGTTCCTAAATAATTTCTTATTTTAGATTATATTGTTTGACATAAGTAACTTTAATTAAGTTTATATAAATATTTTCATAGAATTTAAAAATATAATTTATTTATTTAAAAACAATTTAAAAATTCTACTCCGTAGAAAATAAGCAATGTTACTATTTTTTTGAATTAAATGATTTATCAAAATGGGCCTTTATAGTTACTTACTTACACGATATATATTTTGATGATGTTTTTCCGTGTTTACTGGCTAATTACTGATAGATAATTTTTAATTTATAAATTACTTATAAGTCATATATATTTTTTTATAGAAATAAAATAATTTAAATAATCGATAAATCAATATGTTCATAACTTTCATATTTTAAATTTAAACTATTTATAAACACCATTACTCTGTGAGACTGTGACTCCGTGCAAGAAATTGTCTTTAGGGGCTGTTTGGCAACTTCTGAATGGGTAAGTGCTGAACCAGTAAGAGGTCTGAATCATTAAGTGCTGAACCAGTAAGAGGTCTGAACCATTAAGAGCTTGTATATTGCTTAACTATTCAGAGGCAAATGTCTGATCAATTCAGATAACAGCTCTTAACCATTCAGACTCTGTATAATACTTAACCATTCAGAGGCAAATCTCTTAACCATTCAGACATCTGAACCATTAAGAGGCTGAAACAAACAATCTGAACCATTAAGTGCTGAATCATTCAGACATCTGAACCATTAAGAGGCTGAAACAAACAGCCCCTTAGTCTTAGATTTGATTTTGAATAAACCCTAATTTCAGGAACAAGGTTAGCTAGATTCCAACGTATCTGCAAATATGTACGGTTTGGACACAGGCACCGAAGATGTGGAGCGAACCGCATTCAGAAAGGCAGAGAAGAAGTACAAGTTCTACTACGATAGCAACAGAAAGTCCGATTTCTTCCATCACCTCGCACATTTGGATTGCGATCTATTTCTATTCATTCCCTTTGTTTTTTTGTGATTATTCACATTTTGCGTTACAGGAAAAAACATCCGAGACCTGTGGATTTATCAGAGGTGATTGATTTCAAGTCCATCGCTGAGTGTTATGCCAAGAATGCCGAGCTCCCTGCTGGAATTTCTGTGCTTCGATGTGATTTTGGTCGACCTGTTTTCTGCTTGGAAAGCCATCCAGGTGTCATGGTTTTATTGCTATTCGGCTTTAGGAGTTTTTCACTTTTATGAGTTTCTATTGCGTATAATAATATGTGGGTGTTTTTCTGGTGCTAATTGGCTTATTGCTGATAACCAATTCTTAACTTATAAGCTGTTTGTAAGTCAAATATATTCTTTTGTGGAGTTAAAATGACTTAAATGATAGATAAATCATTTATAAATATTCATTAATGGTGAGGAATATTTTGATAATCTGGTCAAAATGGAGAATCAAAAAACTGGCTTAAAGATAAGTAGTTAAAACCTACTTATTTTTTCTGGCTTAAAAGGAGCTTATAAGCACACAGAAACATGTCATCAACTGACTTATAAGTTAAAAACTGCTTACAAGCAGTTTTGAACAGCTTATAAGCACATAGAAACACCCACAATATATGTTCTTGAAATATATGAAAGAGCTTCTTTAATTTAATTTTACTACGTATTATATTGTAACAATAAAGCTATTGTAACCCCAACATTTTGGACTTACCAGTGACCCCAAGCCTTGCATGGACGACACAGACACTGTGTGTGTGCAAAACATGGAGTCATGGTAACTCCAAAATGTTGGCTTTACCCTAGCGTGGTCCATATTTTAATACCTAATCTAGGAAGGAAGAAGGAAGAAGGTAGATTTGTGAGGTTGGGGTTTCGGGCTATCTGAATCAATTTTAAAAATTGAAATCAGTTTATGAGAATATGGTCTCCCATAGCATCTCCAAAACTGATTTTGAGAAGCAATTAGTTGATTCATGGATCCTGGAGCTCTATCCACACACTCCACAATCTGTGTCTGCTTCTAATTGGAAGAGCTGTATAAGTTTATAAAATAAGATCCGAACACCCCTTAATGTTCTTCAATGGGCACTTAGCTTGGCTTCGAGCCCTTTGCATGTATTATTTCTCCCCGTCTCGATGTAGAGCTTGTCTTCTAGCTCTATGTATACGGCTTATAGCAAAGTTGTGGGTGTTGTTGCATGTGGCATCCAATGCCTGACCTAGCATAGTAGCATCCTCTTTGGCAAAATCACCCTTTACCAAGTAATGAGCGAGTTGGTATGGAATTACTAATTTAAGTGGTGAAATCCCATAATATTATATCAAATATTTGGAGAAAAGTGAAGCCAAGAATAAGATTGAGCTGAAAAATGGAAAAGGCATAAAAGTTCGTTTCATAATTGTCACTATGTTAATATGTTATATATTTGCTCATGAATTAACAAATATAATAATATATAAGTGAGATATTTTTATGTTTTATTGAAAAGGAATTTCAAAATATGGAAAAGGAAAAATGAGGATAATTCTAAGTTGATATCAAGAGATATGACACACTATTCAAATCATCTAGGGCTTTAATCTACTTTATACTCCCAATGGTCACAATTGAGGTATAAAAATAGACTCTCAAGTCTCAATAGACACTCTAATAGTATTAGTGGCCAAACAAAGAGGTGTAAGTCAGGAAATACTCTTTTTCAAGAGAGGCTTTTGATTTTAATGGTTAATGACCTGCTTCATTGTGCATTTGGTATAATAACCAATTTTTTTAAATGAAAACCGAACTTTATTAAAAGCAAGGAACAAAGTACACGGGGGAGGACAAAAACTGAAGCCCCCAATATTACCATTGAGAAACATAGGGGAACAAATTTGCATCATATTTAATAATGCAAGTCAATTGTGGGATACACCAAGGAGAGGGAGGATTCATAGAGGTAGCATTTAGAAGATAGAAGCCCATGGAATGCAAGGCTAAGTGCAACACTATTCACACCCACTAGGGTATAGTGAAAACCTCAACTTTTCGCTTTAAAGTCAGTGATAATCTTTGAAATATCTTGCTTCCAAATTGTGGGCGACGTCTCACTCCACGTAAGACATCTTATGATGTCCTTCATGTCACTCTTGATAATCAGGTTATGAATCTCCATTTGGATGGCCATAGAAAAAGTTTCAAAAGCTAAGCGCTTGATAGCCTTCCCCTTGCACTGGGCGTCCATGAAATAATGCCCCAAACAGACCAAATAATTATCAGGATTTCAAATGATAATCCAGTCGCCGTGGCCATTTCTGCTCTGGTGAACCATCATGGCAATGCTGGATTTGAAGCTTGCTGGAGGAGGACGGTACAACTGATGAATGCAAGTTGCTATGTGACGTCACTGACGCTTATTCTTATCGTCTTAAAAAATGAATACCTGCAAAATAAGAAATATTCTCGGAGTCCAGCACAGGCCCGTGAAGAGAAAGGTGCTGTAAGCCTAAGATAAAGCTATTAATAATGAAGTTAGCCGGAGACCGAAAGCATATGATTATCAAATATCAGTTTATTCATCGCCTTCTGAAGGTGCCAGATAGGAAAAATAGGAATACAGAGAATAAAGTCATTATGCCTAAGCTAGGCAAGGTCAAACAGGCTATGGAGATAGTCAATAATAGTAGAGTCCCAATTGGCCCTAAGGAAAGCAAGTCTCTCTGAGAAGAGAACTCATATCCGCTCAGCAAGGTCACACTTCAAGAATTGACTGATAAAGTGATAAGGGTGTCCTCTGAGTTGCACGGAGGATATTTATAAGGGACATAAATCAAATAGTTTCAACTTATCCTCAAAGGGAATAATATTGTTGGCCACACACAGGCAGAATGAAACTTTTTTTTATCTCCCAAATGGCACTGACGTGACTAGATTCATTTTTCTGCATTCAAGCGACATTATAAGCGGAATTAATAGAGAAAAGATTGTTGGGATTTGGCTTCCACGTCGGAGCATCCCTAACATCGCACAAGGTGATCCGAATCAATGATAGATCCCACTAAACCCTCGGGGAAGGGGGGGAGGGAGGTCAAGAATATTCGAGAGCACAGACTCACCATTAAATGTGTCTCAAACAAGGGGGGGATTAAGGGATTAGCTGGGTCAGCAATGAGGTCCAACACGATGCCCGTCCCACTCCTGTTGGACTCCAAAAGGAGATATCGCCTTTGCCAATAGAGTACGACAGATAAAAATAGAAGTTATGGATTATGATTGACCCTATTGAGGGCAGTCCAGAAATGGGAATGGTGTCGGTTACAGTAGGTTAACAAAGGAAGCTCGCATGTCCTTGGAGGTGGTGAGCTTAAGGTGAAAGGAGTCATGGAATTTGAAGACATTACAAGCATCGATGCCATTCTTGTTAGTGGGGTAAGCACAACGCTCCCAAGATCGCCATACGTGCTCGTTATTATCGTTCCTGTCCCACAAGAAGCCCCTACACTTACGGTTATTATCGTTTAAAACAGAGTTAGGGACCAAGGAGGCAACCAAAGTATGAATCACCATGGAGGACAAAACATGCTGGATGAGGGTGAGCCCACCTCCTTGGGAGAGAAGTTTATGCTTCCATCCAGCAAGGTTCTTATCCATCAAAATGGATGTACCCAAAGTATGCTCTCTTAGGGCAGCCCAGGTAAATGTTGACTCCAAGATAAAATGAAGGGGAAGACAATTTTTTACCAATATTACAATACATAAAGATATTGATTTGGTAAGTAAATTTCCTTAATTCTTGTATGATTTGCTAAGGGAACCAGAAAAGATGCTAATTAGTCAATCTTACACAGTAATAGTGCTAACAAACATGAGCTTCAATTGTCATAGTTTAGCCAAGCTATTTCATCCCAACCCTGAAGAATATTTTCACCACTTGCAATGCTCTTCCAACATAAGAATTCCAAATCAGGGTTGTTAAACTCGAGATCATAGCTAGGATTGTGGGTTAGGGGGGGAGAGGGTCAGAGGATTGTAAATCGTAGATCGTAACTCGAATTGTAAGATCATAGAGTAGTATGACTATTTAATACTTAAATTATACAAGTATAGCACATGGTTATCAAGTCGTCGCCTAGTCGTGGACTAGTCGCCGACTAGTCGTCTAGTCGGAAATTGGGTATCGACTAGGGCAACAACTAGCGACTGTAGGGTTAGGATGCAAGGAATCACGGATCTGGTGTTGTTTGACATCCCAGAACCCTTGCAGAGGGAGGGGGACAACACCAATAGTATATTAATTCTTATTCTATGAACATGTTAAGTGGTTTGATGTGAAATTCATGATTAATTTGAGATTTATATTATATTTCTTATCTATTTTTCTAATTGTTATCGTTTGTGAGTATTTTGAACACACACAGATATATATGTGTGTGTGTATGGAGTATTACTTATTCTGATTTGTCGACTAATCAGCGACTAGTTGGCCGACTAGTCGACTAGTCACCTAGTCTCTTCCACACCGACTCGACTCGACTTGTCGACTTGATAACCATGGTATAGCATGAACTATACATATGTGTAACAACTTAAATTTAAAACAAATGGCCACAAATCATAATCATAATGTGGAAATAAAAAGTACTTCCTCCGTGGTTTCATCCAAAATTAAACATTTCATTTGTTTTTTCGCACCTAAAAAATTAAAGTTTAGGACAAATTTTAAAAAAAGTGAACTATTTATTTTTGAGAGGAATGAAATGTTTATTTTAGAAGTTGGGACAAATCTACAAATTGTGAACGATGCCCACAAGAACTTATGAGTGCTTCCAGAATCTACAAACACAAACCCAATTACTTGATGCCCACGAATGTGGCCAAGTTGTATCATTGAAGTTAAAGTGGTATGAAGCTTGTTGGGCTAGGGCGAGAAATTCAAAGGGTGTACCTGTGAAATTGCTTTGTTCTCCACTTCCCCCCAAGCATGATGAAGCGATGTGGCCTGCCCAAGGTTTTGTGGGCCATGATTGGTACATAAAAGAAGCATGTTGTGGTGCAAACTCCATCCCACATCGGAAGTGAAGAACAAGAATGACCTAAATAAATATGGTTACCCAACTCCATTAGTAACATGCTTTTTGGGAGGTGCCCAAAAACAAATCCGTGAGGGCTTAGCCTCGAGTGGACATTATCATATTAATGTGGGGTTGGGGTGAGGGTACGTGCGGTCCCAACATGTGGTATCAGAGCCCAGGTTCGTGCGAGCAAGAGTGGCAGACTTTTTTGTGCGGAGTTTGCAGTGTGCTCAGTGTGACACCGAAGGTCTGCAAACGGTGACTTGTGTCAAAAGTCTTCCTAGACAAGTGGTGGTCGGGCAGCGTGTCCCGCTTGGTGTTAACGACGGTATAAGATGATTTGGCACATCAAATGGTGTGACCTTAGCGGATTCGTGATCTGTGGTTTACCATGTGTCGAAAGTCTTCTTGACAGGGCGGCGTGTCCCGCAAGTGTGTAGCGGCGGTGCAAGATGGTGTGCAGCTCAAACAAATAATCACTGAAGGGGAGGTCATGGGATTGTGTGGTCTGGGTTTGAGGGGAGGTTTGTTGTGGTGCAAACTCCATCCCACATCGGAAGCAGAGAACAAGAATGACCTAAACAAATATGGTACTAGTAAGAGGCATTTGGTAGGTGCCCAAAAATAAATCGTGAGGGCTTGGCCCAGTGCGAACAATATCATACTAATGCGGGGTTGGGGTGAGGGTACGGTCCCAACAAAGCACACAAGTAATGGATGGATGCCTTAAATGGATTATAAGGGCCAACTTCATACCGATACTAAAGTGATAAGAGTATCTGTGCATGATCTAATATCAGAGTTGGGGATGTATGTGTATGTTTCCGTATGCTTATATCTTTGCGTGTGTATAGAGAGTTTTAAGTTTAATCCACTTCACATTCATTCTTCTGAGATGTATTACAAATGAAAGGGATTGCCCTTATTTATAATACTAGTGTCCTTGAAGAGTAACAAGTTAAACTCTAAGCAAATACTAATTGTAAGAACCCAAGTTAAACTCTAAACTCTGTAACTTCCTTACCAGTTACCACCATTGTGTTTGGGCTTTCAGCCCTTGGCCCATATCATTCTCTTGGTTGAAATGAGTTGTATATTTGCTTGGGCGCTGGTCCTCTAAACTTGATTGTATCTAAAGTTTATTACTTTATTTATCTAATACTAATAGATGTGTGCAGGATTTTATTTCATTCCTGGTGCATTAAGCATTAAGGAACAGTGTTGTTGGATAAAGGAGAGTTTAACTAGGTTTCCACAGCCACCTAATAGAACAAACCACAATGCCATATATGGACCTATAAAGGACTTATTTGTTTCTTCCAAACAAGGCATGGTATTAGTTGAAGAGGAGCAGTCATGCCAGATGAATGGTACTGATGCTAACAATGATCCAAGTGTGGCATGTGCTACTTCTTGGAAGTTTTCTGATGTACAGAGTTTGTCATCGAGAGGAGAAGCATGCAAATCAGTACCTGCCTCTGTTTTGCTTCGTAAGTTACGATGGAGCACCCTAGGCTTGCAGTTTGACTGGTCCAAGGTTTTGTTTATTTTCTACATTCGAAGTCTTTAGATTAATTTGAATTCTTTACAGGCTTTTCCCTGATCTAAATGAGCTTGTTCTCAGAACCTATTACATGGAAGATATCATTTTAGAAGCCAGTTGATATGCATATGCGGATATGCCTAATCCATCCCGATCTTATTTCATTTAAGAAGTCCATGGATATGTCAAACCCACGGAAATGTTTATGAAAGCTCTTTTACTTTATTTTTTTTAATATATTCAAACAAGACCTTTCTCCTTTTTTCTGGACCTTCTATTTCCAATTAATGAACAAGGGCTGTATTTTTTTATTCATAAAAGATTATACCGATTAATTGCATTTAACTCATAAAACATTATACCGTGAGAAGAAACAGGTTGCACCATATTGTGATATTTGTATGTAGTACTTTTTCAAATTTCAGTGCTCGATCGCTATAGCAGTTGTATTACTTGTATCTATTGGTTTCTGAATAAGTTATTTCTGATGATATTGCAGAGGAGCTACAATGTATCTTTATCTCATAACAAAATACCGGATGAACTTTGCCAGCTTTCTTCAAAACTGGCAGCTCCTGCCATGCAACCAGGCGAAAAATTCCGGCCTGAAGCAGCAATTGTCAATTACTTTGGTCAAGGTATACATCACAAATTTAAATTCTGTCCAGCTCTTAAACATGCTCACATTTTATGGTGATTATCATCGTCATCATCATCATCATCTTCTTTTTTTCTAATTAGTTCTTTTCCAAATTTGAGCCCTTCTTTTCCAACTAGTTCTGATCCATGACCTGGATACTTTGTGATTTATTTCCTCACATTCTCGCTTAGTCATTTGAGTTTTACACACACTCTTCTTCAGGTGATATGCTCGGTGGTCACCTTGACGACATGGAAAAAGATTGGAGCAAACCTATTGTGAGCATGAGGTAACTGTGCTGCCTTCTCTATGAAGCTTCTTTTACTTCAGTTTAATTAGATTAAGGTTGAAGTGCTATACTGCCTATCCTGATGCTGGACCTGTTCTGCAGTTTGGGATGCAAAGCTATTTTCCTCATTGGCGGGAAATCTAGGGAGCAAATGCCCCTTGCAATGTTCTTACGTAGCGGTGATGTTATCCTTATGGAAGGAGCTGCAAGGGAATGCTTCCATGGTTAGACCTTCAAACTTTTTATTTTGTTGTTATATTTAAAAGCATGCTCTCTTTGTTGTATATGCCAAAGGAAAATTCTTATACCTCATAAGCAGTGGCCATAGAAAAGCTGCATCAAATTTGGTGAAATACGGAGTATTTTGTAACAGGAAATTAGATCCTCATATACTGTGTAGATCTGTCCAATTTGCACAACCTGTACTATATTACTTTTGAGGTTGAATATGTGATCTGAACTTGAAAGTGACCGAACCCAAAATGACCCACCAAAACGAGTCAAAATAACCAGGTCTGTACGCAACCCGACCAATCCGTTGATGTAAATTTTCCCCCAAATGGTGCATTTTGAAATGAAATATAACTTTTTAAAAACCATATTATCATAGTGTATTATTTTCTTTTTACTCAATTCTAATCTAATGTATGCTATATTATTTCCTAACACTTTTAAAAATAATATCATGTTGTTGGTTTTGTTTTTCTAAACATTGTTTATATAAACGTTGTATTTTCTCTATAATCATTTTGTATGTGTATTAATCCAAAAACTCGTTGTATAAACCTCATACTTCCTGCCTCCCAATTTTTTTGGAACATGAGAGTGGCACACATATTTAAGAAAAGTAAATTGTGTCATTGATTTTGAATTTGTATGGTGTGACTTGATTTGTGCCACATTAAGCATACCAAATAGGGTATTAGATGGTCCAAAATGATGTGCCCAATCAATTGGGCACAATTTTAATGAAGTAAAAACTGTGTAATTGAAATTTATATAGAGGAGAGAAAATTGTGCACCACAAAACCCGTCCAAATAGTAACAAACACATCTTTGGGGACAAACACAAGCAAAACATTCAAGTCTTTTTGGGATCGAGGGAGTATAATATGAAATACAAGTGTTAATACTACGGGTATAAATTTATATGTTAAAAAACGCTCCCAACCCGTTGGTCGACTTGAACCTGAACACACTAGGTCATGAACAACCATCCCCCCGACCCGAATTCGAAAGTATCAAACCCTAACTCCAACTCCTGCTCTGACCAACATGTTGAAAGGTATAGTCCTTACCATAGATGGGTTCCTTCGTCGCCACCACTTATACTACTACTACTACTCTCAATGATATTGTTAGTCACCCACCCATCATACTGATTGTCCTCCGAAAGTGTAATAGGGTGTTTGGGTATGCATTATTTTTTCAAGAAGTGATTATTTCTCAGCTTTTAATCTATATTCACAAAGTCAGTCCCAAACACCCTCTAACCATCTACAAGTATTACAGGTGTTCCCCGGATCTTCACCGACAAGGAACATGCTGAAATTTCAGAGCTGGAGTCGAGCTTTTCTTCAGACGAAGGTGACTCCTCATTGTTGGAATACATTAGGGTTTCCAGAGTAAACATCAATATCAGGCAAGTTTTCTGATCATCACCATACCCAAAGTGACACAAAAAAAACATAGCGCCTTCATCACATGATACCGAAAGTCACTTCTTCTTCTCGGCCCCTCAAGATGTGGCTCTGCAAATATTGTACGCCGTATTTCGCGTTAGGATTTTGTATTGCACTTGTTGCATTTTTAGGCATGCTGCTAAGGGATTAAGCTTATGAGCTATTTGTCTCCCATTTTCCTTTCATGCCAAGGTTATTTATTAATACCCCTCCAGGTCCGTGTATTCCCTCTCTGCCCTCCCCTTATGTGGCGGTGGGCCCCCTATTTTCCCTCTGTTCTGTTTTTTGTTTTCAGTTATAAAAAAAACACATCTTTTTGATGTGGTGGGTTGTAGATCATTAGATGTGTTTTTTGTGTCCTTTTCAGGTGGTTTGTTGCTCTCCGCCTCTCCCTTGTTTCGTCGTATGTTTTTCAAGTGTATGCTGGTTTTACTTTTTAGAAAATTTTGGTAGTAAAAAGTATTCCCTAGTTCGTATTTAATGTCTGTTTAATATTCACATGATCACATTTTAACTACGTTCTTGACTCATTTTTGCGACTTATTTGATAAAATAATGGTCTTGTCACCTTTTGTTTTGTAGGATTTTTAATGTAGTGTTAAAATATATATAAAAAAATTAATTTCTTACCAATTTTTAAATAAATTGAATTGAAAATGATTTTAGTCAAATTTCATCGTGGGGACAAAGAGAGTACTTTGTAATAGTTAAAAAAATGATAATTTAACTCTAACATTTGAGCTTCACCCTTTAATCCTATTCTTATAAACATTACGGCCGTTTGACATTGTTTTGTGTCAGTAATGTCTGAAAGAGTGGGATAAGAGGTTGGGTTAAAATGTTCGGATCGATCAAGTATAATCCTTAGAAGAAATATTGTCTCCCCTTTGTTGACATTGCGAGTGATGTACTTTTCACATGTGAGAACTTATGATGTCAATTATGGAGGCACGTTTCATTTTGGGTGTTTCGCCATTGATTAAAGGATTTAAAGTTAGGGTGCCATCACATGGGTGTCTCCATGCTTTGGAGAAACACACAAATGATAATTGTTTGTGTGTGTATGTGCAAAGCATGGGGTACTCATGATAGCACCCATGTCGTGACACTCTAACATTACCTTCACTATTTACCTTCGCCTCAAACTTTTTTATCCATGTTTTTGGACGTCTCATGAAATACTGCCCATTTTATTTTCTTTTAGCCTATTTGGCACATGAATTTGAAATGAAAATAAAACAGAAATAGATGGAATTAAATTTTATTTCAATTCTAAATCTTTTATTTGGTATAACTAAAAACTTCACATAGAATTGTTGTATAACTTCAAGTTCTTTGTTTGGTAATATAAACTTGCATATAGAATTGTTATAAAATTAATATGAAATTGTATTTGAAATTTCTCGCGGTAGAGTAATTTTAAACCAATTCAAAATCCAATAAAATATATATCCATAAAAATGTAAATTTTTAATTTTTAAATTTTAGTTATTAATTTTAAGGCACTTTAAAATTTTTAATCAGTAAATTTTTTATTAATACATTCAATTTTTTATTTTTAAATTTTAAAATATAATTTTAGTGTTTTATATTTTTATTTTAAACTTTAAACTTTAAAATTTTAGTTTTAATTTTTAATTCTTATGGAGTAACTTTTAGTTTAAAATTTAATATTTTGACCTTTTAAAGTCTAAGTTTTATTTTTTAATTTTAGTGTTAGATTTTAAGTTTATAGTATTGAACTTTAAATTTAAAATTTTAAATTCTGAACTTGAAGTTTTAGATATTATATTTTAGATTTTAAACTTTATATTATAGTTTATACTTTATTAAATTTTAAAATTTTTAATTATTTATTTTTAAATTCAATTTTTATTTTTAATTTTTTAACATCTAATTTTAAATTTTATTTTTTTGTTTAAAATTTTTTGTTTGGCTTTTTTGATTAGTCAAAGTCTATTAAAGATATCAAAAGCAATTGATTAACTATTTTTTCAAATGGACTCATGATTTCATTTTGACCGGGAAAATTCAAATTATAGAATTTAAAACTTTTTTTCCGTATTATGGGATTTAAATTGTGATATTAAAAAATTTTGAACTAGAACTCATTCTAAATCCGTATTTTTTCGTGTGCTACGTACTAAGGCTGTGCGTAACGCCCCACCGCCATCTTCTCGCCGTCCCCCGTGGCATTGCCAGCTTCCCGCGTGACCACGTGGAACACCGTCCCCCCTTGCGTGATTTGCCCGGCATGAGCCATGTCGTGGCCACGGTCACGGTACTCATTCCGATATTTTTTTTGCTTTCCCCCTCTACCCAACGGTTGAATGACATAAAAAATTATTTTTTAAATCCATGTTTTGAATTTCAAATTTCAAATCCCCTACACTATCCTCTATTTAAACCATCCAATCTTAATATATTTTTAAACACATTCTCTTTTTTTCTTTTTCTCTCATTTATATAAATATACTCAAAAGATGAATATTTTGTACTCTTTTTTTCAATTTCGTTTATCTTTTTTAAAATCATGTCATTTATGAGTTTTTAAATCAATTGTTGTTTTGTGTATTTAATTGGTATAATATTAAAAAACGGGGAAAAAATTTAATAACGAAAAAAAGGAACAAACCTGATTTTTGCCATTACTAGGGGTGCATGTTGCATACAGCGTCGCTATCTAGCACGTTTCATATTCAAAGTGGCCATTATTATTATTTTGTAAGTTGGCCAATTAAAAAGCACTATTTATTAGATGGTCAATTAAAAAAGTGGGTGAAATTTAATCCCTCAGATATTTAATGATAATATTTCAAGAATTATTACTCTGTAATACAATAATAAATCGAACAATTAAGAAATCATTTTACATGGGTTGTACTTCATGGACCATTTCACAATAACATGGACTTCAATGGTTTAGCTACACTAGACATGGCAAAACAGACCTGAATCCGATAATCCGAACCGAATCCGAAATAACATGAAAATTGAAAACCTGGATTAAACCCGAACACCCAAAATGATCCAAACCGAAATCGAATGAAATGTATTCAGACCTGATTCAAATCCGAATCCGATCCGATTGAACCCAATCCGATTAAATCCGGAACCGATTAGATCAAATATTGATTAAATTCAAAACAAATTAAACTCAAATTTAGTCAAACTTAATAGCTCATTGGTTGATGTCTTTTTCAGAAAAGTATATTTAAATTATATTATAGGTACAACTAATTTCATGTACAAATCTTTTATTCCATGTTTTATAACTTAAACTAAGTTGGTTGTCTATTTTTATATACAGTATATATAATTTGAGCCCGGTTCCATGGCCACAGGATTCCAGTGGCCGTAGAACCGGGCTCATATAATTTATAGTGTCATCATTACAATATTGATGGATATACTGACTCATTATTACTGACACGTGTATATATACCCCTTTACACACACAAGGAGGGGAAGCTTCACAAGGCTAACATTGAAAATTCTAATACCAAGGGATCTAATCTAAAATCGGTATAATCCTGAATCGGTATAAACCCGAACTGATATAAACTCGAACCAATATAAACTCGAACCGAAATAAACCCAAACCCAAATCGAAACCGGGAAATAATCAAATTGAATTAAACTTGGAATCAAACTGAACTGACTCGAATCGACCCGAACCGATTATAACCTATATTCGAAAGAGACCCAAACCAAAAATATCCAAAACAAAACCAAAACAAAACCAATAGACTCGATTACCAGGTCCAAGCTAGACTCTTTTCTTAAACTATATAGGCTCTACATTATTTGGCAAATACTTGAATGACCATCAAGCCTATTTCAATTATATGGGACCTTGCTGATGTGAATTCATCAGTATTAGTATTAGTATTAGTATTAGTATTAGTATTAGTATTAGTATTAGTATTAGTATTAGTATTAGTATTAGCATTAGTATTAGCATTAGTATTAGTATTAGGAGATTAAGATTAGGATTAGGTGATTAGGATTACCATTAGGAAATTAGGGTTAGAATTAAAATTAGGATTATGAGATTAGAATTCGGGTTAGGATTAGCATTACTATTAAAGCATTAGCATTAGGTATAATAATTTGGGTAAAACATGCCTTTTTCTATATTAGTTTCTAAGTCCAATAACTTTTGTGAGAAGATTCAGAATTTAGATGTGGACTTTGAATGCACGAAGGCCACTCACATTATTTTTACTCTGTATATTGGGTCTAATAGATATTATAAACTTTGGCCGGTCTCAATATCATATCATCATATCATCCTTTATATATAAAATTTGAGAGTTCAGCTTCCAGAATAATGACATTTGGCATGGTGGCTCGACAGAATTTTAAACAACTCATCAGCCATGTCATCAATAAAAGTATATCAATTGGGATATTCTAATTCTTTCGAATCTAAAGGACCCTGTCCAATTGATGGCTGGATATTTAAGGAATTTTTTGAAAAAATTTTAAACAACTCATCAGCTATGCCATCAACGAAAGTGTATCAATCGGACAATGTTTTTGACATGTCAGCACGTTAGTTAACAAAAAACTTATTCTATGGAAATTACGTTTCGTATTTGTTACACATAAATTTCTCAATATAATCGCGTTTAAATTTTTTTATATCTTAGTTCATTGTTGGAAAATATTTAAATTAAACAATATATTTTGAAATTGAGAAAAGAACTCATATTCAAAAAAAAATTAATTCAAATAAATAAATTTATTCTGAGAATGTGTAGATTGGTAAGACTAAAAGAAATTACATGCGAATATTTGTTTTTACTTTGAATTAATAGTAACTGGAGAGATTTTTCAATTTTGAAAAAAGAGAAAAATATATATAAAAGGAAATGAATTTTTATGGACATGCTTATTTAATAAAGCATTGATTTTATTCTATATAAAATTAGTATTTTTATTTTTAAATTATTAATTTCCATTACTAACTTTGTAAAAATTTATAGATGCGTACCTCAAAATTACTATTTTCAATTAATAATTTGTAAAATGATGAAGACTTGGTACGGGGTACATATGTGTAAGAAATTAATTATTAATTAGTGTTCCTAACTGAAATTATAATATCTCCATACTACATGAAGTTCTTGCTCTAGTAGTTAGAGATCTTGATTCATCTCATGAAGAAAGGGACATCATCATCGTGAAAAGAGATGAATTCTTACTAAAAGTCCATGAGACACACACTGGTTTCCTACCTTTGTAATACTCTTTGTTCTTTCCTTTTGGAGAGGATGATTATGAAGAGAATATCCCTATAAGGGAATCTTTTTTTGTGTTGAAAAATGTAAAGCGCGAGAGAGTGTCATTGAGAGAATATGTTTCATTACAAATACAAGAAAGAGAAAATGATTAGAGTATTGTATTGTTTGCACAAAGATTGTTTTTACAATTTTTGGTTGATGCATACACGATAGTTGAAGCAC